ACAGCCCCCTCGACGAAAGCGCACGCACGAGCAGCAGAGGGTCCCCCGGCAAGCAGGACTACGCAGCGCGGCGGACCGGGAAGGGCCCGGGTGGGGTCAGGGGTGGTGCGATGGTGGGGTGGGGCGGGCGTCGGAGTGGGGGTCATATGGCTGCTTCTGTGGTGGGGCGACGGCATTGGAAGCCGTCCGCCCGCCCGCGCCTACCTTAAAAAAGAAAGAAAGAAAGAAATCCGACTCGCAAGCTAGAAAGAAAAAAAGAAAACAGCTAACCCAAGGGAGGGATGGGAGGACGGCACGCCGCCACCACACAGGGATTTTAAAGCAAGCTAGGCGTGTGGTGCGGTTTTTCTTTTCTTGCGATGTCCACCCCTCCGCCTCCGCCGCCGCTCCCTCGCCAGACACACCGCCGCCCGCCCGCCTCCTCGACCTCCCCACGGAGCTCCTCGTGCGCGTCATCTCTCGCCTCGACGGCCCTGTCGACATCACTCACGTCGCGGCCGTCTCGCTGCTCTTCCACGCCTCGCTTGCAGAGGCCATCAGCTTGTGGGCGCAAGAGCGCGGCTTCGAGCTGCCGGCGCAGCCAGAGGGCGAGAGCTGCGCCGTGCGGTGGCTGTGCTATTTTGCGCTGCTGTGCGAGTCCAACCCGCCGGTGAGGGCGGCGGCAGGCCAGTGGCACAGCGTCTTCATCGTCGGCGAGGGGCGGCTCTCGTCGTGCGGCTGCCCGCCGGATCACGTCCCAGGCCTCCTTGGCCACGGCGAGGGCGTGACGCGGCTCAACACGCCGACCCGTCTCCCCTCGACGCTGGGAGGAGAGCGCGCTGTGAGCGTGTCGGCTGGAACGAATCACAGCTTCGCCCTCACCACCAGCGGCGCCGTTTGGAGCTGGGGCCAGGGAGGCTTGGGCGCGCTGGGCCACGGCGACCATGAGGATCAGTGGCAGCCGACGAAGATCGAGGCTTTGGCTGGCCAGCGCGTCGTCGCTGTGTCGGCGGGAGCCCGCCACAGCCTCGCCACCACTGCCGACGGCGCCGTCTGGAGCTGGGGCTATGGTCACCATGGCCGGCTGGGCCACGGCGACCAGCAGCACCAGTCGCTGCCAACAAAGATCGTGGCCTTTGCTGCCCAGCGCGTCGTCGCCGTGTCGGCTGGAGGCGACCACAGCCTCGCCATCACCGCCGACGGCGCCGTGTGGAGCTGGGGCTTTGGTTTGGACGGCCAGCTGGGCCACGGCGACCAGCAGGACCAGCTGCTGCCCAAGAAGATCGAGGCGTTGGCGGGGCGGCGCGTCATCGCTGTCTCGGCTGGACGCTACCACAGCCTCGCCCTCACCGCCGACGGCGCCGTCTGGAACTGGGGCTCTGGAGCCTTTGGCAAGCTGGGCCACGGCGACAGGCAGAGCCAGCTGCTGCCCAACCAGGTCGAGGCCTTGACTGGCCAGCGCGTCATCGCTGTGTCGGCTGGAGTCTATCACAGCCTCGCCCTCACCGCCAACGGCAGCGTCTGGAGCTGGGGCTGGGGAGCCGGTGGCCAGCTGGGCCACGGCGACACGCAAGAGCAGCTGCTGCCGAAGAAGGTCGAGGCCTTGGCTGGGCGGCGCGTCGTCGCTGTGTCGGCTGGAGAGCGCCACAGCCTCGCCCTCACCGCCGACGCCGCTGTCTTCACCTGGGGCCAGGCCACAAGCGGCGGCCTAGGCCACGGAGAGGACCTGTCGAACCAGCTGCTGCCCAAGAAGGTCGAGGCGTGGGCGCCGGGGCAGTGATGAGAAGGGCGAAAGGGTGCACAGGAGTGTGCTGCCATGTGCATATTCTTCACGTTGCGAACGTATCCGAGAGTGGGGAGAGGCGAATCCGGGACGGTAGAGGTTTGTGCA